ATTTACAACAACGTTTTGCCCATCGAATGTACTTACATGTCTGTCGTGTACGAAGTGTAAGCATAGAGATTAAAATGAAAAAACCCGAGAAGTCTCTACGCTGCTTATATAGTCGGTGTTGTCAAAATAGGTATATTTTTATATTTTTGTACTTTTGTGCTTAACTTTTTGGAATACTGTGCGTATTAAAGAAYGGTATAATATATACTTTTGTAATATATATACAGGGTGATTCACCAAGCATTCTCACCCCCTTTTTTTCTTTAATAATGGAGTTATTGAAACTCTGATTTTTGGAAATCTTTAAATATACTCGAAGATCATATTTTCAAATTCTTGAGATTTTTTGAACCACTTAAGGAGTGTCCTGCGATACCAACTTTTTTTTTTCAAATGAGAACCCCCCCCCCTTTTTTTACTTCCATTAGTATGTGTATTTTATACATTTTTATAAAAGGTAAAACGATTATCCCTAATACAAACAATTTAATAACTAAGAAACTACTCATTAGAATTTGTAATTAAGTATATCAAAATTTTAAAAATATTTATCTACTAAATAATTTACAGATAAAAAAGGAGGAGAAGTTCTCATTTGAAAAACAAAAGTTCGTATCGCCACGGAACACTCTTTATTATATACACAAGAGTATATTTTAAAATTCCAAAAATTAGAACCAATTTGAATAAATTCATTATTAATTATTTAAAGAAAAGATGGGGTTGAGCATGCTTGGCGAATCACCTGTATACAATATACGAGTATTAATCAATTTCATAATCAAATTCCTTTTAATAAAGAAATTTGAATTTAAAAACACATAATACTGTAGATTTGATCTTTCTTGACTAATTTTCCGTATGAAAATTGAATCTTAATAAAAATAGGAGGAATTGAAAAAATGAAATATAAAGCGACCCTGGATAGATAATGAGTAATGAAATAATCAATAAGAAGTTTTCGTATTACAATTTTTTGTACCTATTTTACACTATTGTACTAAATAATTTTTTCATGGCGTATATAATACCAGAATATTATGTATTATACGGTATTAAACTAGCACACATCACTAATAGTTGTACCTACTACCCAGTAACATGGTTAGTCGAACTAATTTTTATAATCAAAAATA